GATCCTGTCGTTCATAATGCACAATACACAGCCCGCAGCAGTGCGGAAGCGATTGCCGACTAAGACGAATGACCACCGACGTCGACGCTTGTCCATCGGGGAACGACTATAGGAGACATTTCTCGTGAAATCTTGCTTATGTATAAGTGAGATACTTTTCGCATACTATCATAATATACAATGACAAAAAACTCTCAATCCACGACGCATAACCTTCGCTAATATTCGATCGAAAATAAGGATGACCCGCCTATGTTTCTATTTCTACCTTTTGACTCGCAGTCACTCGGAATTCCAGTCTTGTTCGTAGAGTGCCAGTGCCATCCCGTAATGTCCAAGGTATGTTGCGAAGTGCGGATTAAATTTTTATTAAGCACCCTTATCAGGTACGCTGGTGCCGTAAACATTTTGTTTCCGGGCAACTTTACGAGTACGCCGGAGAATTCCACCTCAAGTCACAGAGGGGATCCAGAGATGAATTTGAGTATAGAGACGGAAGCAAGTATGCGGCCGAAATGCATATTTCATAGGTTTACTTCCGGGTGGGGGATGAAATGAAGGTTCTACAGAAAATTTTGTCTGTCAGTAGAATATCCTCATCTGTGAAGTTGCTGAGTATTAACAACCGGATTTTGGTATAGATTATTATCTATAACATAAACTCTTTGGAAATACTCTGCGAATGAACTAATAGTCCGATTAAGATTATATGAGACTTCATTAGCAGGGGTCATCCTATCTGGTATTCTAGATGAGCCTTTCGTAGACTGGATGAAATGCCAAAAATGAGTCCGATTTGTAACCAAATCATTTTCAACTTTTAGCAGATATAGCCTTTTATCTGTTGTTTAACAAGTGCGCGGACCCTAGAAAACGTTGCAATTTTAAATTTCGAATAATATCTGAGCTATACCAACCTGGATAACGATGATTATGCTTAATATATTGCGGAACGTACAGATTAAAAACGAAGTATAATTTTTCATAGAACAAGTCACACATGCGACTGACATCCTCCACGTTGTCCAAAAAAGACCAATCAATATAAGTCAAGGCATTGTAAAGGCCAGTGAAATTAGCTTTCCTGAAGTTGTACGCTGCTATATTCGTGTCAAAATGATAAAGAACACCGCTGAAATATTGGAAAATGAAACAGCTTGAAACCAAGTAACCAAAGAAGCAGTGTAAAATTGCTTCCGCCAAGCAAGATTTAAGCATGAAAATATGCTAAATGAATACCAGTTAAATGTGGCTGATACAAAAGATGACAAACCACATAATATACTTACAGATATCCTCAAAAATAAACATTTATTGAAGTTGACTGATAATGAAAACCCTTATAATTTTTTGAACCTAGATAAAAGCTTGTATGTTGAAGATCCATATTCAGGCCAAGAAATTCAAAATCCAGAAGAACTTTCCGAAGATTCTGATGCCGATGAGGTTCCAATACCATCACAAGCTACTCCAGCAGCTCAAAAGTTTTGTGGAAAATCACCCATTTTTATTATATGTATTTTATCTTATTTAACTGTTTTGCGTTACTACATAAAGGGTGAGCCATCAGTTGGTTACTTTTTTAACTGGTATTAAAACTACACTCTCCAGATTTTGGGACACGAAGGAGCAAATCTGATCAATCCATGGATTAAAACGCTTTCTTTGGATGATACGGCTCTCTACGATCTAGTATTCAGCTTTATTGTTACAATTTTGGTGTCAGGTGTGGGGTATTTTCACTGTATGCCATATTCCGCTGTGTGTTCCCATGAGGAGATTCTTAAACTAATACTGCGCCCTTCATGGTGAGACTCACTCATATTTCTTAGTGCTTTCTGCAGATCCAGTATCAAGCTTTTCATGCTAGGTTGAAGTTTGACAGTTTCCAAGCCAATCTAGCCATGTTTTACAATTCTCATAAACAAGTTCCACCACTATTTAAAAGTAACGAAAGCCGTAAACGAATTTTCCGCATAATTACACCCCTTCGCATACAGTAATGTCGGAAAAATGTAAAGCCTGGAATAATATTTCCTAATAACACGGTGTTCTGCTTCTAAATGAGCTGTTGTCACGCCTAACTCGCAGAAAGGTCTGATTGAGATAATTTCTGCTAGCAATTAGTTTTCATTAAACAGAACTCTACTGCGAGGCAAAAGGCTGATAATATGCCGCGGTTTTCTGTTTCGTTTAGCTTTACTACTGACCAGCTAGCAACCTACTGAAGAAGAGAAAGATATTAGTCGATTACAAAGAATAATGACAATAAAAAGTAGGTACTCGATTCACTTATGGTCCTCCAAACCGTTCTGAAATTTCTAGCAGAATATCTCGATATTAAGGAACACGATTTCTTGAATTCGGATTCTGTCACTCTTGTCTTACGTCTGCTATCAATAATTACATGATCAAACGAACTTACCTGTAAGTGATGTTCGATCTTAATTATGTCCTCGTCGAAGTAAATATTTAGAATACATATTGTAGTACCCTCGTAATAGTATCTAACTGCCTCTTCCCCCTACCTCTCTCCCCTCTGGCCACCAATAAACCTTCATTTACTTGAAAACCAAGTTGTTGCAACAATTGGGTGATACATAGCGAGAGAGGGAGCTATTTACTTCGACGAGGAGTTCACATAATTAAGATAGAACATCACTTACAGGTAAGTTCGTTTGATCATGTAATTATGTTCCGTCCTCGTCGAAGTAAATATTTAGAACACATATATGACGTACCTGGTTCAAATCATACCATCCGATTCATGGTAATGACCAAATAACGTAATAACATAGTTATGTTTAAGGTGTGGAGACTAGGTTCACCTCAATTGCCGATTGAGCAAAGCTATTGTTTAGCGTAAGAGATTTGTGACGTATCTCAGAAAACGCAAAGAGGTAGACTCATTTCATGTACTTTGGGTTGTCAATTGGACTCTGCTAAAACCGACTTCATCCACCTGAGAGCCGAGGCACCATAATAAAGTTACTGTACAGTGACAAATAAATACTTTGACTGCACAGATATTTGGGCGTAAAATACAGTGAAACTTAAGTGACCCCGAGACTTTAAAAAACTGAGAAACCCCAATTTCAGTATTATTCATGAAGGTTTCCTTCTCTGCGTGCGCGCTTTGAAATCGTGGCGGTTGGATACTATTACGAGGGTACTACAATATGTATTCTAAATATTTACTTCGACGAGGATGGAGCATAATTATTAATATTATCTATATTCAGCCTATATGTTGTGAAATGTTCCCAAATAATAACAACGGTATGACAATTGGGGTATCGAGATATATCAGATTTCATTCATATTTATTTGTTGCCAGAGTGGATAGCGTGAATAACAATCAAATAACAAGCACCTTGAATCAACATGCTGCTATTTCTTGTCATCGCGATAGAGTATTTTTCATCCGTATCGTGCATATCAAAATGAATGATGTAGGAAACAAGAGGTTACATAAAGAACTCGCGATTTTTAACTGGTCCAAGTGAAACTACAGAAGTTGTGTAAGATCATAGACACACGTTGTCTTGTTTTGTTCACCGCCTTGAAAATTTTCTATCCAAAGTATGAGTCTTTCGCAAGTATGCTTGTCATTGTCAATATGCATGGCGTGGACACATGAGATTAACTTTCATTGAATATAAAATATAGCAATTCATGGCTTCAGAGCTTGTGCAGTGTGAGGAAGTTAAACTCTGCAGATGGTACAGTAGGTCAATCTGTTTAGTAAGGTCGTATGATATTGTGACGTGAAAAAACTAAGAAATATCTGTGAATAGTCCAGAAATCTGTTAACCAGCTTCGTTTTAAGTAACAAAGGGTTCAGTCTACCAAATTTTTAATTTCTTATTAGTCGAGATTACAAATTTATGTTTGTCTTGAGTATTTTGTGAGTAGGAACTTCTATATGTTATTGTGTCCTACAAAATATATAACGTATCTAATTAAAAGAGTTATATTCATGCCACAAATCGATTTGTGAAGCGAGATCTGTACATTTCCAAAATTCGAATACTTGCATGCCCCTCAATCGTTTTCCACATCAACACAAAATTCCAACGTCATTTCGTTAGTTACCTACAAGTAGGTATCTGTTTTCCCTCCCAACAACCCGTCTTATGGGAGCGAATCTCAGAACCATTTTTTTAGATAATTTTTCTTATTCCTCCATTCTCCCTTTAATGATTTGCTACCCCAAACAACAACATTGCAAGCCGAGTATTTTCTATGGTAATGTAGGATGTATCGTTTTACAAGGCTCTTGTGTAATTATTGACGATTCAAATTTATTGAAATCAGTCAAAGACATCCGGAACAGCGACGTGCTATATTGTGATATTTTTGATATGCTGATTCTGCATCTTTTTCAATTCTCCTTTTCTTCGAGCGTAGGTGTATTTTTAAGAGCACAAGAGGGTATAACTTCGTGATGCGTGGTTTTACAAATTATCAGGCAATTTCAAGGGCATATTCAGTACGTAAAAATATGGAACTCTGGCTTGGGAAGTCCCCTTTGCCACCATACGGAGTGTTTGGACTTGTTTAGGATAATTCTCAAAAACGAAGTAAAAAAACGAGGTTATTTGATTTGTTCCAAGGTAGACTCAGATGGAAGATAAAATGTCCTTTGATATATACCAGATCAGAGCCGAGCTATTTTTGTTGCAGTTTTTGTGAAAATTAAGAAACAAGAAACTGTCCTTCACGGAAGTGACAGAATCCAAGGATGTAACATCAGTGAATTTTCCGCGGTTCCTGTAAAATAAATTTTTTTATATCATTTATATTTCTTTATGTAATGATAAAGTGTTTTATAAGAACAAACATTTTAGTCAGATTTTCTCATCAGTTCTTATAATTTAGGTCATGTAACAATATAGCAATAGTTACTAATAACCTCTTATAGTTAGTTACTACACTTAATGACTCTCTTATTATTAACACTTCTTAAGTAACTGACTATATTTTGAATTCCTATTTAGAAAATGGAGTGTCTCCTACAAGCAGTTTCTGGATGAAGCCAAACCTGAGGAAAGGAAAAAATTTCGACGTGTTGAAAGCTTTGCAACAGTAAACGGTGTTTTTAGGCTCTAAATTCAATTAAATACAAGTAATATCATGTAAGTAAGGGTGATTAAAACATCTTCTGAACCTTATGTTTTACTTGACATCTCACTTATATACATTTAATGAAGCATCAAAGTGACGTTCATCAGTTCATTACAGGACATCCGCAAAGTTGGAGTTTTACTTTTCAGGTACAACTACTCTTATATATATAACAAAGCTAATGAGTGGTGAAACGTGAGCGAACAAGTAAAAAAAATAAATGAAAAAGTACTCACTGTTCAGTTGAATTGAGATTCCAAGTACGGCTCTGTCGTAAAATCCGCATTTACATCGTAGTCGTACGTCGTATAACTGTAAGCAGGCGCTGGCGCTATGGACGTGATCGAGGGATAGGACAGGACGGTTTCGGTTTGGTTCAGGTTTTATTGAGTCTGCGGAGCCCAATATCTCGGTTCTCTCAAGATATTGGTGTATATGCTACTAAGAAAATGCGCTTATGGATATATCTTGAGGATTCAAGATCCACACGTCGTGTAAAGGAAACCCCCAACCTTGCAGACACCCTGCATATTCAAACCTAGGCAGTAGTTCACCTGACCGTTGGCCAGCGATCGCTTTCTCGATTCCGCTTCGAGTTGACCTAAATTCTGGTTGGGAAGGTTGAGGATTCATTTGTAGTCAAAAAGTCTCCAAAATTGAATGAGGATGCAAAGTAACATGACGAGCCCTCCTCTTCGACCCGAATCCCTCTTCGGTATTCCATTCAGAAACTCCCGTCGTGCAATATATGTTTGCATAGAAGGGGTGACTCGAAGGATAGAGGCCAACGCGACAAAGCGATCGTTGACGGCCTAGCAGTAAATCAAAGGTTCAATCGCCGGGATAACCGGACTGGGTCCCGGCAGCGCCTCGAATGGACATCAGATCGTATTATTATAGGCGATGGGAACAGGAGACGAGCACAGATTGAAATGTCTGGAATATTCGACATGCTTTAGGAGGAGGAGCCCCAACAATGGATACTGCTATACAAGTAATGAGAATACGCGTGTCTTGTAAATTTGTATGAAGTTATCGCAAACTTATTAAGGGCGGATTTCACAATTTAACAAACCATTATTCTGCAATAGGGTACGAGTACCAAACAGTCCGTCAAATATACCCAATCAGCCTCAAGTGAAAGCTTGCCATTTAAATGTTTTCAGTTTATTAAGTATTCTGAAATTATATAAAACTGAGCCAAAATTTAAAAAAATATGCTTGATGGCTGAGTAAAATCCATTTTTTTTTCAGCTTAGCTGAAGATTTCTCCATGCTTATTGCAACTTTTGTAATCCATATGTGATTATATTAACTCAACATCACCTACTGGGTGTTAATAGTTTATCCTACATTTGCAAACTTGGACTTCCAAATTCTTACATGAAAAAGCCTTTATACTCAAATTTTTGTTAGGTGTTGACATTTTGACATCACTGGTCCGAAACTGTTCAAGATTTCATTCATACATTCAATTGCAGTTGCAGTTTTTTGTTTTGATTTCAGTGTATAATCAGACGCACCATCGGTGATGGTACATGGTACACTCAACATAATCAAGTATTTCGAGGTTAGTGCAGATTTAACTGCACACGACAGTGTAATATGTAATTCTGCACAATAAAGATCTTTTTATACGGAAAAACCTTTTTTCAGAAATAACACAACAAGCTCAAAACAACAAATGACATGTGACCACAAAACATAGACTACAGTAACGTTGGAGAAGGAGAATAGACCAAAGAAAAATTGGCATTTGAAATTAGTGTCTCACAATGTTAGTGATGGGAGAATACATTTGCAATCCGTATAATGCATTAGAACGGTTAAAAAACATGAATTGAATTGTTTTTACGCTATCTCGACTGACAGACTGGAATATCTGCTCTGTTTCTGTACATATACTTCTTGTGGTATTGTTGCATAAAGTAGTTTGTTCACGAACCAGTTCCTAGAACTGAACGCAACTTAATGAAACGAGCTAGAACACATTACTATTTCAGGTAATCCAAGGAGGGACAAATTGTCATTTCATCACAATAGTGATGAGAGAATAGAAAGCCTGATATTCGCTTTGCTTCTGTGACTCAGAGATATAAGGCTTTCTTCTGACAAAACTAGCGCAGTTTTTGGTGTTTAAAATACACTACCTTAGTTAATACCTTTGATCCTAAAGTTGCTCCCAAAACAACATTAAACAACACTCATGTCGTGTCGCGTGCAGTAATCTGTCAATGAAGCATATTTTTCGTTTCTTTGTCATTTTCCGTGTTACTATGATGAATCATCGAAAAAAATGGTAGTAAACCACGAGCAAATAGTACGGCTGCATTCAGAGATGGAAATCGAAGCAGAAGATAGTAGACAACACCAGCCCAATTTCTGTATGTCTTTACACTGAGTGAAAAACTAGTTCAAAATGATAGGACAATGTTTTTATTGCTTTGAAGAAATTCATTAACCCTTAAATTAATAAATTATTACCATTATGATGTAAAGGAAGATGAGAATCTGGCTGGAATGTATTTTATATTCTATTTTCTTGCAAAATACAGACAAATCCACACTATTCAATAGGTATGTAGCTATAATGATAACATATAAATACTCAGTATATTGAACTTGACAAATTCGAGATGCATTAACAAACGTCCAAACCTTCTGTTAAATTTAACAGCTGGAAAATCGACCTATTATTTGCCGCATTCCCATTGGCTAAAGAGATAATAGATCTATTATTTGTGAATTGATGAGAACTAGCAAAATATATGAAAGTTTTCTCTATACAAAAGCATCATGTTGGAATCAAAAAGTGGTCTTCTTTATGATTTAATCGTTTTTTTACGATTTAATTCAATATCTCAATAGAAATCACTGATATTGGATTTCAATAAGACCTTTTCCTATTGATGATTTGATGATTGTGTGAAGAAATACGTTCAATATAAAAATCGCTCAAAATCCGTTATTTGAAAAAATGTAAATCACTTTCATCAGCATCATCACTGAGTGACGTTCGATGTGGCGTGCAACAATGTCGCAACGCATAACCTTTTATTATGCGTATGATTGCGCTAATGAACCGTATTTCATCTGTTTTTGTGTCCTGTGTACACCCGCGTGTTCCATACAAATTGAAAACCGGCCCGGACATTCCTGATCCGATTAATAATCGGACATTCGGTAAATATTCAATTGACAGCAGGGCGAATCCAATGTAATTAGTAGATTGAAATTACGTATAAAATATTATAAAGGCCGAACTATAAATTCAAGGAAAACAAACGCGAACGATAAAATGGCGGGTCACTAATTCAATACAAGTTAATAATAAACATTTGGTCCCTTTATGTTAGTTTATGATACCGGGCTATATTGGATTAAACCATATTTATGGGACAATCTATCTTTGCTGCGTTGTATCCGACATGAAACTGTTGCGGTTTTTATGTTTGAGTTATGGGAGCTCCAGAAAATTTTTATATCTGTTCTGGCTTAAAAAAACTATTTTTGATTTCAGTATTCAATGCTCCATTCACTTTGAAAACACAGCGATGTCCTTAACTGCCCTTTTTCGGCGTTCTCCATCACGTTGGCCAAAATTTCGGCGGATTTCTTGACGACTATTGTTCTTGAGGGCAGCTAGAGTCTTTGGCTTGTTAGTGTATACCTTGGATTTCATATAGCCCCACAAATAAAAGTCTGGTGGCGTCAAATGACGTAATCTCGGTGACCAGTCAAAATCGCCATTTTTCGATATCAGTCGTCCAGGTAACAAATACACTCAGTAAATTGATTAACTGCTGTCTTGATTCGTGTCTGAAGACCGTCACCGGTTGGAATTTCTTCCTAACATTTCGCTAGCACGAAGAAGAAGCTTGCCACTCGTGCTAGCGAAACGTTAGGAAGAAATTCCAACCGACGATGGCCTTTACACCCGAATCAAGACAGCAGTTTATCAACTGGCCGCGAAAGCCTTAACCAATTTGTCAATGAATTGATTGTTGCTTGAGCTGTGTGGCATGTGACGCGGTCCTGCTGGAACCACTAATCGTCTGTCATCTTCGCAAGAAATTATACTCAAAAAAATCGTTATCATGGCTCGCTAACGCTCACCGGAGCGTCAATGGTGGCGCCGGAACAGGGCACATTTGGTTATCAAGGCCAAGGGTGGCCATTTGCGCGATGTCATTTTTGAAAAGTAATTACAACAAATCTCCGTGGATCACAACAAAACACTTTTTAAATGTGCATCAAACAGTATGGGGTTGTCCAAACCGGACGCAGGAAAGTAAACGCATATTAAAACAAGAAAGATTGATATTCAAGTCAAGTTGGGTACTTTATTTTGAAGGTTCATTTATACCATTTATGTATGAAAAATAATATCGCTCAAACGATCACCACGACTGGATTTACAGACGTCCACGCGATGGTCGAAATTTTCAATGACATTTTGCAACATGGTCGGTTCTATGGGATTTATCTCGGCAATGATGTTGTTTTTGAGTTCTTGGAGGGTGGCTGGTTTGTTGACGTAGACTTTGCTTTTCAAATATCCCCATAAAAAGAAGTCCAAGGAAGTCAAATCGCACGATCTTGGTGGCCATGGCACATTTCCTCTGCGCGAAATCACGCGATCACCGAAGAAGGACTGCAATCGATGGTTATTGACGTTGGTTGTGTGGCATGTTGCACCGTCTTGTTGGAAATAAACATCGTCCATATCCATTCCTTCAAGTTGCCGCAAAAAATAGGCCTCTATCGTCACGTGATATCGCTCAGAATTGACGGTAACGGCGCCCCCGGCCGCATTTTCGAAAAAGTAAGATCCGATGATGCCTTTTGACCACATTGCACACCACACAGTCACTTTTTGAGGATCCATCGGCTGCTCTTGATACTCACGGGGATTTTCGTTCGCCCAGATGCGGCAGTTTTGCTTGTTTACCGTCCCATTCAAAGTGAAATGCGCTTCGTCGCTGAACATGATTTTTGATGAAAACTTGGCATCAATTTGGCGGTG